TGGAGGATTTTCTGAAGCATTGTTGGAGGTGGTTCTCTAGTGCCTGCTTTAGGGTGTCCATGTCTCCATTGCAAATAGAATTCAGCAATCACTGTTGTCTGGTGAACCCTGACCTTGGTCCTCAAATCCTCAATTAGCTGGCCAAAGGTCAAACTGGCACATAGGAGGCAAAGCAGTGTTTCATCATCTATGTTTTCCTTCATATGGAGGAGGCTCCCACGATATGAAAAATGATCCACATTTTCTAAGATCTTTCTTAATTGAGGTAGGGAGGTGTTTTGCTGTGGGAGCTGGATTGTAGGGGACCTTAATGTTCCATGTGTCTAGTGATATGTCTGTACAGTGGTCACTATGGACAATCCAATAATACAGCTGGTCGATGGTTATTACTTTGCAGAAGTTGTAAAAAAAATTAATAAGGAAAAGAAACAGATGATAAGTCAACTCTATCATAAAAAAAGTCACCCCTCAGGCAAAATAGTAAAAACTGACACTAGTTTAATGGTCTTTTTATTGTGCAAATTTGGTGTACACATTACATGGAACTTTTGCTGTCATCTGTAATCAGTTTTAGGAGGTTAATTTTCAAAGTTGTTTCAATGCACTGCGGCAGAGTCTAATTCACAGCTCCAATTCCAAACCAAAAAAAAAACGCGCCATAGTGGAAACAAAACTGGGAACAGGCTGGAAAAATAATTAGGAGTACAGAACTAATCTAACAAGTCTATTTTTGGCTCGATAATGATTTTGCTTTTAATTGGGACAACTATTTATGGCTGTAAACCACGTCTATCAGGCCATTAATGAAGTGGTTCGAGCTACCATGAACCTGGTGGTAAAAGTGTTGAAATAACTCAAATTTGAAACACAATTAAAAACTCGTATATGTTTCATGAATTTTTAAAGTTCTCCAACATTATTTTAAACACACCACCACCAACTCGCCCCACTATTTTTAGTAGGTAGACACAGATTATAAAGACAAAGGCATGTGTCATGTATTAAATAATGCAGTTATATCGCGTAGAGTTAAATCAGCTGACCTTTGGCAACTTTTTGTGTATGTGGAAAGTTCTTTTAGAGCTCAAGTATTTCTGAGGCATTTGTTATCAAAACACAAACATTGCAAGGCAGAGCCCGTTGCATTCCAGTCTGGTGAATGTCTGCCCTCTGCGAATGTAATTCCAGGCTTCGGTCTATCCTTCACAATTACTGACACTAATTGCATACAAACACAGGAATGGTTGGATGTCTGCACATTAACTAGTCGTTTATTCGTCTGCCCTCATCGGTGGGGGTGGAGGGGAGGGTCAAATTCTGAAAACCTTTTACACATTCTTAACAACCTGCTAAACAGATGCAAATTAAATTGTTCTGAAATACTATCTGATCTCCAAAATTTAAGATATTACAATAAACTACCAGTTTAATAAACATACAGAAAAGTTACAGTGAACTTTTGGGTGTACTTGCCAGAAGACGAAAGCTTTGCCAGACAGTTTCTGCCGAGTCTTAGTTCACATCGGATTCTGCTTTAATAAAAAAAACTTTATTAGGAGTAAGACTGAATGAAATTTCAAAACAGGTATGGTGATACTTTTACAAAGCAGTGTTGAATAAATTAATACAGTTGGAAAGGATCCTTTTCGATGAATGTTGTTGAAGCAGTGTAAAGTCCTGAGTGGAATGTCTCAGTCTTAACCTGGATTTTCTATTGTTCCTAATCTACATTTCCAACACACACCGAGAACTGTAACAAAAATTGGCTGCAATTACACATATTCCTATGTGGAATGATAATCGAACACAAACAAATAGTTTGAGACATTCTGAAGAAAGGTCCCGACTGAAATGTCAACTTGCCTGCTTCTCTGATGCTGCCTGGCCTGCTGTGTTCTTCCAGCTCCATACTGTGTTATCCAAATGAGCCAATTGGGCAGACTGGTGGAAATTGAAATTTAGTGCTGAAAAGTGCTGTATGCTGCATGCTGGGGGAATTGGTAATCTATGTACTGTGTGACTGATGTTGCAGTAGCTTTGGATGATCTTGAGTGCAGGGGGAATTGCAGTCAACACCCTTGTCAGGGTGAAGTAGGAATCAGCAGATTAAAAAATACCAATCTGCATTTTTAGATCAGTATGGAGTTCTCTTACAGAACTGTATCTAATGTATACAAGGCACAAATTAGTCTGCTCCCATTTTCTAACCCAGATCTGGTGCCATGCGAACCTACAGAGGTCAACCAAATTGACCCTGAGGTCTCAAATAAATGTTTAGGTTGTCAAGGGCTGTCAAGCCAAGATTGGTAGTTTATTTCTATTTATAAGAGGCCAATACCTCCCATGCCTATTGGTAACTTTAGAGGAATGTGGGCCAAATGCTGGCAAATGGAACTAGATCAGTTTAGGATAACTGACTGACTCAGACAAATCCAACCTATCTCCCTCCAAACTGATTGCACTCCATGCACTCAGATCTAACCCTGACTTTGTTATTAAGCCTGCCGATAAGGGTGGTGCCATTGCAGTCTGGCGTACTGGCCTTTACATTGCAGAGGCTGAGCGCCAGTTTTCAGATACCTCATCCCATCCTCCCCTTGACCATGACTCCAGCATGACACATCAGGCCATTATACTGCGGTAATGGATCTCATTTCATCTGGTGATCTCTCCCTCTCTGCTTCCAAGCTGATGGTCCCCCAGACCCACACAGCTTGCTTCTACCTCCTCCCAAAAATCCACAAACAGGACTGACCTGGCAGACCCATTGTTTCAGCCTGCTCCTGCCCCACAGAACTCATCTCTTCCTACCTTGACGCAGTCTTCTCTCCCCGGTCCAATCCCTGCCCACATACATCCATGATTCCTCTGACGCCTTACGCCGGTTTCAAAACTTCCAGTTTGCCGGTTCCAGCCGCCTCCTCTTTACCATGGACGTGCAATCCCTTTACACGTCCATTCCCCACCAGGAGGGTCTTAGGGCTCTCCGCTTCTTCCTGGAGTAGAGACCTGAACCATCCCCACCCACCACCACCCTTGTCCGCTTGGCTGTGCTTGTCCTCACCCTCAACAACTCTTTTAACTCCTCTAATTTTCTTCAGGTAAGATAGGTGGCCATGGGTACCCGCATGGGCCCTAGTTAAGCCTGTCGCTTCCTGGGGTACATGGAACATTCCTTGTTCCTATTCCAGCCCCCAACCACAACTCTTTCTCTGATATATCGATGATATCATCGGTGCTGCTTCCATCTCTCGTCCGGAATTGGAAAACTTCATCAATTTCGCCTCCAATTTCACCCTGCCCTCACTTTCACCTGGTCTATCTCTGACTCCTCCCTTCCCTTCCTCCACATTTCTGTTTCCATTTCTGGGGCTAGACTGGCCACTAATATCCACTACAAACCCACTGACTCCCACAGCTACTTGGACTATACATCCTCACACCCCACTTCATGTAAAGACTCCATCCCATTCTCTCAGTTCCTCCGTCTCCATCGCATATGTTCAGGAGGCCAACCTCGACAAGGGAACCTCCGAAATGTCCACCTTCTTCTTCAACTGAGGATTCTCCAGCTTCGTGGTCGACCGGGCCCTCAACTGGGTCCGACCCATCTCCCACACTTAACGCCCTCACCCCTTCTCTTCCCTCCCGTAACAGCAATAGGGTCCCCCTTGTCCTTACTTATCATCCCACCAGCATCCACATCCAGAAGATCATCAGGCACCATTTCCGCCACCTCCAGCAAGATGCCGCCACCACCAGACACATACTCCACTCCCCTCCCTTGTCCACCTTCCACAGGGACTGTTCCTTCTGGGGCACCCTGGTCCACAATTCCTTCACCCCCAACACCACCCCACAGCCCTACGGCACCTTCCCCTGTAACCAGCGAAGGTGCAACACCTCCTCCGTCCCCTGTATCCAAGGGCCCAAACATGCCTTCCAGGTAAAGCAACACTTCCCACAAGCTAGTCTCCTGCATTCACTGCTCACAATGTGGTGTCCTCTACACTGGGGAAACAAAGCGTAGACTAGGTGACCGCTTTGCAGAACATCCACGTTCTGCTAGCAAAAAAGACCCTGAACTACCTGGTGCCTGCCACTTTAACGCACCAACCTGCTCCCTAACCAACATGTCTGTCTCTGGCTTGCTGCAGTGTCCTAGTGAAGCTCAACGCAAGCTGGAGGAACAACGCTTCATTTTCCACTTGGGGACCCTACAGCCCTCCGGGCTCAATATAGAGTTCAATAATCTTAGGGCCTAAACTCTCCCGTGTCCCAGCCCCCTGCCCCACACACCAGGCCTTGTTACCACATAGCCTGCCATTACACGCTACCTGTTATTAGTCACTAATAGTCTCCATTAACAACTATTCACCCTCCCAGCCTCATCGTTGTCAACTCTGTCTGTCCAACTCTTCTCTCTTTAGGCTCTATCCTATCGTTTACTCCCTACCCCATCCCCTTCCCCTTTTTTCTGCATATAAACTGATGTTTTCCAGCCACCATCAGTTCTGAGGACAGGGTCACCAGACTAGAAACGTTAACACTGTTTTTTCCTTCACAGATGCTGCCAGACCTGCTGAGCTTTTCCAACAACTTTGTTTTTGTTCCTGAAATTGGACGAAGGATCTGTTTGTGTGCTGTATAACAACTTGACTCTATATAAAGAACTTGAGTATTACTGAAAAAAGATACAATAAATAAGGCTGTTGATAAACCCAATCCGATATATTGCAAGTGTAAGAATCCTATTGCACACATTGACCAGTGAAGATAAGCTTGCGGGGGACAGTAATAGATAAGCTGCTGGCTGATCTCTCCACAACATCGAGGAAAGGAAACTCATTTGACAGCTCCATTTCAAATGTAAATTTGAACACAGGATGGAGTCTATTAAAACATGCAAGAAACTACATAACAGAACATATAAAGATGAGAGAATGAAATAAATGAAAATGCAAACCTTATCAAGAGGGAGAAATAGATGGAACACAGAAATTGACGTCTTGGGAAATTTTGACCGAATTTCGCACAAATTTTATGTTGGAGAAGGAGAATGTTTGACCATTGTGCCCCCACTGGCTCTATTATCTAGTGCCAATCTCCTGCCATTTCCCCATATTCCTGCACACTATTAGTATCAAAATAACCATAAAATACCCTTTTAAATGCCTCAATTGAACCTGCCTCATGTCTCCAGGTAGTGCCTTCCTTACTATAACAACTTGTTGCATGAAAGAAAAATTTTTTCTCACATCACTTTAAATCTATGCACACTCATTCTTGTTTCTTTTACAAGCAGAAATTGCTTCACCCTATCTAATCCATCCAGTACACTCAAGATTTTGTAAACCTCAGTCAGATCTCCTCTTACCTTTCTTCTGTCAAGGAAGACTAGTCCAACTTCTTCAATCTGTCCTCAGAGTTGAAGTTTCCCATAACTGGAACCATACTAGTATGTCACTTGTGCATTCTCTCCACTTCATTCATATCTTTCCTATAGCTTGGCACCCACAACTATATACAATACTCCAGCTGAGGTCTAACAAGTGTCCTGTATGAGTTCAAAATTACCCCTTTGCTCTATGCCCCTATTAATAAAGCTGAGGAAACTGCCTGTTTTATTCACTGCACCCTCCACCTGTCCTGCCACCTTCAATGCTCTGTGCGCATATACAGCCAGGGACCTCTATTCCTGCACCCCCTTTAGAAAATAACCTCTATTTTATATTGTCTTTCAGTGATCTTCCAACCAAAGTGCATCATCCTACACTTCGCTGGTTTGAACCTCATCTGCCACCAATTCACCTAATCCACCAATCTGTCAATGTTCTTTTGGAATTTCACACTATCCTCCTTACAGTTTAAAATTCTTCCAGTTTAGTGTTTTCTGCAGACTTAGAGATTGTCCCCTGCAAACCCACATCCAGATCATTAATACATTAGAAGTTGCCATCAATAATATAATTAAGCAGTACCTGCTTAACAACTACCTGCTCAGTGACACCCAGTTTGGGTTCAACATTACAGCTTTGGTTCAAACATGGACAAAAGAGCTGAATTCCAGAGGTGAGCTGAGAGTGACAACCCTCGAAATCAAGGCTGCATTTGACCGAGTGTGGCATCAAGAAGCACAAGCAAAACTGGAATCAATGGGAACCAGGCAGAAACTCTCTGCTGGTTGGAGTCATACCTGGTATGTAGGAAGATGGCTGTAGTGGCTGGAGATCAGTCATCTCAGCTCCAGGACATCTGTGCAGGAGTTCCTCAGTGTAGTGTCCTGGGCACAATCATCTTCAGCTGCTTCTTCAATGACCTTCTCTTCACCATATGATCAGAAGTGGCAAAGTTCACCGATGATTGCACAATGTTCAAAACACTCACGACTCCTCAGATACTGAAGCTGTCATGTTCAAATGCAACAAGACCTGGACAATATCCAGGCTTGGGCTGAAAAGTGGCAAGTAACATTTGTGCCACACAACTGCCAGGCAATGACCATATCTAACAAGAGACAATCTAACCA